ACTTGTTTGCACTAATGATGATGCTTTCAGAGTGTTCAGTTTCTGAGTTTCAACGTATGTATTTGAGATTTGTTTCCGAATACTAACATAGCTACTGAGATGACAGCTGCGAAGTCACCGAGTGGAGCCGTGCCAAACAACTCTGTCAAACTCCAGGTATACCTCTGTACCTACCTGCGATCATAACTTCACTGCAAGATATTTTCAATTTTCGAAAAAAAATTGAATTTAAAATGTGAAAGTGTAAAGACAGCAATGCCAATTGTAATACCTGGGCAGAGTTCCATGACGATCATTATCGGATTCTCGAAAACAACGATACCCATAATCTTGATCACGTTTGGGTGCTCAAATTTACGCATAATTCGAGCTTCTTTCATGAATTTCAATCGTGCCTGCCGTGATGCCTCTTCGCGCATGGTTTTCACCGCCACACTTACTACTTGTTTCGCTTGTATATATTGGGCCAAATAGACCTAAAGCAAGCTGTTCTGACTAATTAACACGAAACTATCGATGTCGAGTTTCTGCATATCACCAAAAACAGCCACAGTCGTATATTTAATCTATCAGTGTAAAGTCTTCTTTGCAAACTACTTTCTCGCAAGACCATTTCTGATCCAATTCACGTGCATCTCTTACACTTGCTTTTGTTCAGATGACCTCTTCTTGCCCCACGCATATCAATCATTAATGTACCGTACACATCGATTGTCAGTGAAGAGAGTACTTCGCCTGTTTATGGATTTTAAGACGAATAAATTTAATTTAGATAGTTTATTGAAAATCACCCAGAAGGCAGTAAGGAACACGAAGCATTAAAACAAAGTACTAGACATACATTATCTTTAATTATGTGTTCTAAGAAATAAATCAAAGCAAATGGCCAGAAGCAGTCACGTTAGGCACAATTTTCCATTTCAGTTTTATCTAGACCTTATTCTCGCTGTTCCACTTTCAACTATAGTAGCCCGAACAGCACACCGTTTATACTGTCTGATGGTCCTACGCGCCCTACAGTGCAGCGCTTCACCCCGTTATGGTTCTCATTTTGGAGCCAGTTTCATTTCACCTGAACCTAACAAGTAACATAACATTCTGCATAAAACATATATTTTCATGCACACACACCGAATAGGCGTGGGTATTAAGTGAAGACATGCAGCTCAGAATCGAAGAGTCCGGCGCAGGCGCGCTTGGCTTTTCGAACATCTTAGCAATACCGCTAATAGGGAATGCTCGCACTGATGGCCCGAGCGGCCTCGGGCCATGGAATATATTTTAATGGATATTTCCAAATTTTTTGTCAATAAACCTTGCACGTATATTTCTCTTTATTAATAAACCTCAATTTTTAGGATTTTTTTCCATTACAATTAAAAGACCCTGTTTCAAGTTAAGACATTCATAAGTGTAAGAGTTTAAAAACTCGACCTCGCCAAAAGCTCCTTCACCAAGTTTCTTCTGCAACTGGATTTCGTCGTGGGTAAGAAGCCAAGGCTGCCGAACAATTCCTTTGACTAGCTTCGCATGGCTGCTGGCTGATACTGGTGTGCCCGTTGATTTGTGCCATTCAACTAGTTCATGTACTGTTCGCTCCTGAATGGCCATCGGTTGAACTTGATGCAAAGACAACACAGTAGTTACGCATCCGTTTCACTCACGAACTCTTCTTTAAGATAATTTTGACTTTTACGAAACATGCCAACATCCGCAAAATACCATTTTAGAAAGGAAGTTAA